GTCAGGTTTGTGACTGAAACACGGGTGGCAACACATCAGCATCTGTCAAATGGTTGCTGGGACTGTTTCTCAAACTTTTGAGCATCCAAGATAAAGTTGTTCGGATCGTGTTTGGGAAAAGCGTGGGAGATGTGACTCATGACAGTGTGGCACAGGCCAAAGAGATAGACAGAAAAATCACAGCAATCTTCACACTTTGTCTCACCGAGGTAGCCAATTGACTTCCCAATGCTTCAATCCCTCCTCCCTTCAAAACAAAGGAGCGACAGCTATTGGTGGTCGAGGCCCCATTAACACTCTGGCTTCAAACAGACTGCTAGCTGCACAAGAGAAATCTTCAGCTGTATAAACAGACAGAAACTAGTTGCTGAACTAGCGTAGCGTTACCAGCATGTTTCCCGCCAGCTGGCGACTTCACTGCATTTACACCTACAACTGGTTGCTCTCGTGTTTACATTTTTAAACTCTAGCTGTGCTGCCTGAAGTGTCTTTAAAGCCTGCTGCCAAATGCATGTAGTTCTTCGAGTGTAAATAGAACCTTAGGTGAGCTTACTAGAAATAGTTTTAAATGTATTTATTATAATTTATTGTATTTATGACACTGACACAATCAATGTGATCTCGTGAAATGAGTTTTACAGGCTTAGTGTAAAATAAAAGGCAGTGATATGCAAATCATTTCAAACCTTGACTTAAATGAAATTTTTATTTTATTGTGCTTCAAAATGATGAACGAAACACACAACTAGTCACTTTATTAGGTACACCTTCATGGTACAGGGTTGGACCCTTGTTTGCCTCCAGATCTCTTTAATTCTTCATGCATTGATTCCACAGTGTGCTTGAATCACTCCTCCGAGACTTTGATCCATTTTTGACATGATAGCGTCACATCAGAAGCTCTATATTTGTAAGCTGTAGATCCATAATGTGGATCTCCGGTTCCAGAGACACAATTCTCCCTTTCAAACCTTTTTTTCTCCCCCAAATTTCTATAGTCTAATTTTGTTAAGCTTGTCCAAACTTTCGTTGTTTTTAGGGTCCACTGTGCTCTTCTGCTCTTGTAGAGCATCTGTTTGATGTGCGTTCAGAGATGCTCTTCTGCAAACTGGGACGCTCTCCCCCAGACATGGCATCAATGAGAATAACAGCTCCCTGGATTTTGCTGTTTTCAGATCGTTCTCTGTAAACCTTAGAGATGTTTGTGCAGGAAAATTGCAGCAGATCAGCAGTTTTCAAACACTCAAACCAGCCTCACATGATGTCAAGAGTCACATAAGTCACCATTCTGCCTCTGATGCTCAGTTTGGACTTCAATAGCTTGTCTTGACCATGTCTGCATCCTTCCATGTGATTGGCTGACTAGATAACTGGTGTACCTAACAAAGTGGATAACATGGCTAACTAACAGTTTTAAAACATATTGCTGGAATCATATTTAAAACTAACTTTCCTTTTCATTCAGAAAATAGTTTGTTTTACTGTGCAGTTTCTCAGAGATTAGATGATCTGTGGTATTCGGCGCCTTCATATCTTCAGCCTCTTTCTGAAACGTTTTGATTTCTCTGGAATGATGAGTTTTTGTGCTCTTAAGCACACTATATATATTCCTCCAAATCCAGCTGTGCAACCCCACAAACAAAAGAACAGAAAACAAAAAAAGATCCACATCTCTCGGCTTATTGTTGCTGAAACAATACAGAAAGCGTCCGAGAATACTTACAGGTCGCTGGCAGTGGACGAGTTGCGGGACATAGTTTTGGGCGAAAGGTCGAAGTCTGAGTCAGAGCGATAGAGGAAGGACTCGCGGCGTTGACTGTGGGGAAAGTTGGCCTGAAGTACCAGACCAGAACCTGGGCTAGTCTGAGAGTCCAGTGGACTGCGACCCACCGACAGGCCATTCTCCACATCAAAACTACAGAGAAAAGGAAGAGAAGAGAGAAAAAAATTAATAAGTATTCTGTTGTTCCTACCCACAAGCTAGCATCACAGCCTGATTTTTAATGAAATAATTCTGTTGCTTTTATTTATTTTATTTAAATTTTTGGCATGATTAAAATTGCATGCAGTGACGCAGAGGTCAGGTTAATACCTCTATTAGTATTAGCGGCTATTAACTGCTATAATTGTTGGCTACTTTGATTACTATAATATAATATTGAGCATAAAACCTAGCCAGAATAACAAAGAAATGCATAGTAAATGTATAGTTTTAAACAAACAAGCCCTACTGTAGGAAAAAAGCACAAGAAATATATGAAAACATGAGACAGGCAGCAAAGATTTCACATATAAATCTCAGACAAACACAAATATTGTGATGCACAGCACTAACAGTTTCTGCAGCAGCTGCTGATCTGCATGTAGAGACAGAAAGGTTAAGACCGTGGTGAGACAGGGTACAATTGCACCTCTATGGAACAGCTAAAGTTGAAAGTACAGTAATGCAGAGGGCTGCAAATCCAAATCAATTTCCCAAAGTGCCCCCAAATCATCATAATGGAATCTCTGACAGCAGACACAAAGGAGCTACAATTATAAAGTGACACAAGAACGGGGTTCATGCGGACTACCTGAAAATTATAGTAATACAATGCACAGGATGCCACTTTTATTGGCAGCACAATGGGAAAAAAATGTATTCAGATAGATTGTCTCCTCTGAGTTTAAACAGGTGACCTTGTGATTACTGCTTTCACAATCTAGCACACACTCACGCACATCTTTCCCCTTCACCATCTCTGTTTGACGTCAACACTGGCACGTTGCCTCGGTGCAACGACAACCAATAACCCGCCCCGCCGCTCGCACTCTTGCCCGTCATAGCAGCGACATCGAAATATGCCCCCAAGTGTTCAACAAAGAGTTGCTGAAAATAACCACACAGTATTTTTTTTTTCCATATTTGGAAAATTTAGATTTTTTTTTATTGGTATGATAAAAGTGGGATTATGTCAATTCCAGAAAAGCCTCTGTCAGCAAACAGCAGCACAGCTACAAATGATCAGATTGAATTCTTCTCAATTGCAGGTTTCACTATGACAGTAAATTCCCTTTCCCTCCTAATGCCTTTGAACCAAACCACACTTTTTTGTAACACGCTGTCCAAGCAAGAGCCAGCACGGCGCTGCAACCGTTGTGGGCAGAGAGGAAGTGGAGGAGAACTCGACTTTGAGTATTGTCTGGGGGGGTCAAAGCTTATCAGCTCGGGAATTCATCTTCTTCTGCTGATCTCTGCACTATTTGAAGCTCACCGTGAGCCAGCGTCCTCTCGGCTAAACCTCTTTCCTTCTAAGGAATTCACCTGACTGAGACCTCGGAGCTCCATTATGCGGCCGCCGCATGGGTACGATTAACAGACCGTCTTTATCAATTAGATACATTCTCATTCATGCAAACTCCCCCTTTTATAACAGCTGAAAACAGAGCACCAGTCGAGCAATGGAAGCTTGCTCCTGTGTCTATTTTTAGTGCAGCCTGCCTCCAGCGCTCCAGTAATAATATTGCGTGTTAAATGAAAGATGGCCATTAAGCAATCGATGCTGAATGAAATGGGCCCAGTTCATAGAAACAGTGAGATACAGCGAGATCAGGAGGGGGTGGGGGTGGTGATGAGGAGGGCTGTATCCAGCACAGTGATGTGCTCAGCACCTTGCATCTGATTGGTGCAATTTCCCGGAGGGTGGGTTGGTGGGGGTGATATGCAGCAGCAGGGCTTACCTCAATGATGCCACCCCACCACTACACCTCGTTCAGCCCCACTCTACACACCTCCTCCACCCCTGGCTCGGTGTAATCGGCCGTGACGAGGCTCCATCAGAGGAGACCGGTGACGTCAGAAGCTAAAAATAGACCTGGCTGACAGGAAATAGGGGAACTGGGAGACTTGTGATGGTGCTTACGTAGATGCACCCCCCCACCCCCCATCCCAATGCAGGGTGCAGATGATTTCACCCGTCCGCATGAATATATTTATGAAGGATGATATTTTAAATTCTACTAGGTGAATCCTAGTAGCCATTCCAATCGTACAGTCTGTGTTTTCTTTTTAGATATCGGCGTGAGCAAGTACGATGGCATTCAAGCACATATCTCAAGGACATCGTGCAGGTGACACTGCAATTCATAGCATACGTTTAAACTGTTGCTAAATTTCATTAGGAGCAAGAGTCTTTTTTAAACCAGACCAGAGGATCCCACATTTAGAATTTCATGCAATACAATATTTCTGTTGAAATGTACAAGAAAATGACAAGTTTATTTGTGTTCACATCAAATTTTCCATAATGTTTAGGGGTAGATACAGACGTTTTTTAACAAACACTCCTTAAAGTGGACTTGATGAATTTATATGAAGATAACTGCACAGCAAGACCTAAAATATGACAAATCACGTGTGAAAGAGAATTTTGATGTGGCATAAAATAAAAACATAATACAAAAGATCAATACAAAGTTTTTCAGCAGCTGCAGCTCACTTCAGAAGGCTTCTGATAGTGAGACAACTCCCCCTACTGAGGAACAAGAGGTACTGCAATGGCCATTGCTTTTGTGGTATGCACAGCAGACAAGTTATGATTTAAAATAAAAGAATCGTAATACTCAACTCATATCTCATCACTTGCATCCTGATCCAGGTACAATGCATCTGGATCTATCTGAATTTTGTAAAACACTCTCCACGCAAGAGACTGGCGACCTGTTCAGAACTGCTCTCCCTATGACAGCTGGAACAGGCTCCAGCTACCTCTTGCTTCCCTGAATTGGAAAAGCAGGAAAGAAAATGGATAGATGGACCCCACTCCCAGTAATCTGGCAGTTTCTGTGTCTTCTGTAACACAGTTTTAATACAGTGTGATTATACTTCCTTCCATCACCAGTAAAGCAGAGTGGTATTCACCAGATCTGACCGTGATACACCTTAAACGCACTTACATGTGCTGTTACGCTGAGCTGTGTTAGACTTGTGACCTTTGCCCTATGACAGTTGTGATAGTCACCAGCACTCCCGAGGAAGCGGACGGATGGATGTTAGAGTTGATTGATTGATTGGTAATTTATTTCAACATGTGAACAATATACAAGTACATTTAGAAAAGTAAATAAGAAAGAAAAAAAAATACTGTACAAATTACATACAATTTTTTTTTATTAATTGACATGTTGAAAGGGAGTGGGAGTGGGGAGTTAAGTTAAACAGCTCAGGCCTGGAAGTGCTTTTTAAGTTTTTTAAGGTGAATAGTAGAATTTGTTAATATTACATAAATTACGTATTTATAATAATGCGGAAAATGTAGAAAGCGTCCCTTTTTTCAATGCACCACAGCTACTGTTAACAAGTGAATGGGCATCCACCCTTTAAACAGAATGACAGGCAGACATTCAGCCAGGCACACTGGCGTCTTGTTCAGTTACAGCGTACATAACACGCTGACCTTGGTCTGTCCCCTGACTCGAGCATTGTTCTTCCTTTCTCTGACGTACATTATGGCTCCCTTTTCTGTCCTTAACTGTGTTTTTGACTGAACTTTTCTCACACACAAACACATCCCTTGACACCCACATCCTAAGCTCTGCTTTTGTTCCCAGGATGTTTAGTTTTTCCCCTTATCACTATATCAAAGAAGGGGAAAAAAAATCTTTTGTCTGTAAACTAAATTAAAAAGAACTGCTTTTCTGGTTTTATGATCAGTTATTCTTTTGCTAGAAAAGTGCAGCTATGTCAGGCATTTTCAGATTCATGTTTCCCAATTGTGAGGATTTGCTGAGTTTTGTAATTCTAAATTAAATATTTTGGTTTTAAATTGTTTAAAAAAACAATTTAATGCATTTGTGTGCTTAATCTTGGAGCAACTTTTGAGTCTAAGTACAGATATACTCTTTATAAGTGGACCTTGAGCAAAAAGTTTAAAACCTGTCCGTATGCCATGAAATGAGATGCAGAACTGATTCCAGTTAGTGTTCGTTTGTTGTTGTTGTTGCTTGTGATGTGCTCATGGGAAACAAGGCTGAGGGATTTCAGAAAACATTCTGTTGTGTGTGTGAGAGTGACCAGAGTCCAGATGTTATTTGATGGCTGAATGACACAGAGCTGGGGGTTGGAGGTCAAAACACATACTTGCACACACACCCTCCCTCCTGTTTTCTTCCCTTGTAGCGTGGGAATTGGCCAAGGGGCCTCAAACATCACACCAGGAAGGAGACAAGAGGTGAGGGGGAGAGGAGGAAAACAGACCAGGGAATATTTTATACCACTGAGGCTCAGTCTTAGCAAATAGGGGAGTTTTCTCCAAGGCTCAGGTTAGCATTAGAGTACAGTGGGTGTGTCTTCTCGTTGCATTATGTCACAAAGAAAGGAAAGACAGAGAAGCGTGTCTGTGTGAGAGTCCAGGGAGTAAAGAGGGTTTGTTTGCTTTACACCTCAAGCCTATTGTATATTTGATCTGAACACAGCAGAAAAACAGCCTGCTTCCCTTCGTCCAGCAGCCTGCCAAACAGATCTTTCCTCTCACTGTCACTCTGTGCAGTTTGCACGCTCTGTGCGTGTGCGAACGTCATCACGACAGCAAGGCAGGGCACGGGAAGAACAAGCAGCGAAAGTATTTGTGCAAACCCAGATTTGAGCGTTGCAAAAAGAAAGGAGGCCCCTGTGTTCAAACTCTTCTCCCGCACAAACTGTGAATTCTAGTGAGTTAATGATAAACATGCTGCGCTACATTAGGGAGCAGAACATCCTTTTCTGTGCTGATAAAAATGTGCTTTTTTTTTTCCTGAAAGAAAAATTCATTACCCACACACGGGCAACACGCAACACGCTAGATATCTTCCAGTTGTTTGTGATATCACCGGTGCTTTTCTTAGCCCTCCATTATCTTACGAGGGAGTAGCAATCCTGTGAGAGTCACAGGATCGCAC